TGCATGAGACAAGTGCTCGGGCCTGGTGCACTGGGAAGACCCAGAGGGATCGGGTGGAGAGGGAGGTGGGAGGGGGGACCGGGATGGGGAATACATGTAAATCCATAGCTAATTCATTTCAATGTATGACAAAAACCACTGCAATAATGTAAAGTAATTAGCCTCCAACTAATAAAAATAAATGGAAAAAATAATTAAAAAAAAAAAAGAGAGAGGAGGCTGTCTCCCTACAGCTTGAAGGGGGAAGGAATGGGAAGTTGAATGCCTGAGGGCAATTGATCAGTGCTTCAACTCTACAACTAGCAGGATCATCTAACCCTTTCCCTGATGTTTATCTTATGGATACCACCTAATGTCTAGAATGAGGGGGCAAGAGATGATTCTTCATGGTAAAGAAGAGAGAGGTTAGAATAAGACTTTGCATACGATTTTTTAAAATCTACCCTGTTCTTTCATTGTTGCCTCAAGCTGCCCTCTGCACTGTTGGCTTTAGCCATCTAGCTCCATACCCGTTTTAAGACAGCCTTAAGTTTCATTGGAATGCATCTTTTTGTTAGATTTCTGGAATCCGTATTTTTCTCCTGTATTTCTCTTGTTTCTTAAGCTTTGCCAGAGTGATTTTAAGAGAGGAAGCCTGCAACCAATACTAATTTGCCAAGAAAACTGATTTTTATTTATTTATTATGTTTTATCTATCTTATTTTATGCTATTTGTCTCACCTTTTCTGTTTTTTGGTTTTTTTTTTTTTTTTTGCTTCTTTTTGTATGGATTGTTAATATTGTCTCTCTCTCTTTTTTTTTTTTTCGCCTTAACTAGCTTTGGAAGTTATATGCTCTATTTCTGTTTTTTTTAATAGTTACCCTAGAAAATTTAACATACATACTTAGCCCCACAAAGTCCAAAATAAATAATAATTTTTTATTGTTGTTTTTGTTGTTCAGTCGCTCAGTTGTGTCTGACTTCACAACCTCGTGGACTGTAGCGTGCCAGGCTCCTCTGTTCTGTACTACCTCCCAAATTTTGCTTAAATTCTTGTCCATAGAGTGGGTGATGCTGTCTAACCATTTCATGCTCTGTCGCCCCTTCTCTTTCTGCCCTCAGTCTTTCCCAGCATCAGAGTCTTTTCCAATATGTTGGCTGTTTGCATAAGGTAGCCAAAGTATTGAAGCTTTAGCTTTAGCAGCAGTCCTTCCAATAAATATACAGGGTTGATTTCCTTTAGGATTGATTAGTTTGATTTCATTGCAGTCCAAGGGACTCTCAAGAGCCTTCTCTAGTACCATACATGGCTACTGGAGAAACCATAGCTTTGACTAGATGGACCTTTGTTGGCAAAGTGATGTTTTTGCTTTTTAATACGCTGTCTAGGCTTGTCAAAGCTTTCCTTCCAAGAAGCAAGTGTCTTTTAATTTCATGGCTATAGTCACTGCAGTGATTTTGGAGCCTAAGAAAATAAAATCTGTCTCTGCTTCCATTTTTTTCCCTTCTGTTTGCCATGAAGTGACGGGACAGGATGCCATGATCTTATTTTTTTAATGTTGAATTTCAGGCCAGCTTTTTCAGTCTCCTCTTTCATCCTCATCAAGAGGCTCCTTAGTTCCTCTTCACTTTCTGCCATCAGAGTGGTATCATCTCCATATTTGAGGTTGTTGATATTTCTCCTGGAAATCTTGATTCCATCTTGTGCTTCACCCAGCCTGGCATTTTGCATGATGTACTGTGCATGTAGGTTAAATAGGATGACATTATGTAGCCTTGTCATACTCCTTTCCCAATTAGGAACCAGTCCATTGTTCCTTGTCTGGTTTTAACTGTTGCTTCTTGACCCGCACACAGGTTTCTCGGGAGACAGATAATGTGGTCTGGTACTCCCATCTGTAGTAATTTTCCACACTTGGTTGTGATCCACAGAGTCAGTCTTTATCATAGTCAGTGAAGCAGGAGTAGATGTTTTTCTGGAACTCGCTTGCTTTTGCCATGATCCAACGAATGTTGACAATTTGATCTCTGGTTCCTCTGCGTCTTTGAAATTCATCTTGTACTCTGAAAATTCTTGGATCACCTACTGCTGAAGCCTAGCTTGAAAGATTTTGAGCATTACCTTGCTAGCATGTGAAATGAGCACACTTGTACAGTATTTTGAACATTCTTTGGCATTACCCTTCTTTGGGATTGGAATGAAAACTGACGACTTCCAGTCCTGTGGCCACTGATGAGTTTTCTAAATTTACTGACATATTGAGTGCAGCACTTTAATAGCATCATCTTTTAGGATTTTAAATAGTGTAGCTGGAATTCCATCACTTCCACTAACTTTGTTTGTAGTAATGCTTTTTAAGGCCCATTTGACTTCACACAACTGGTGAAGAATCTGTCCGCAATGTGGGAGACCTGAGTTGGGAAGATCCCCTGGAGAAGGGAAAGGCTACCCACTCCAGTATTCTGGCTTGGAGAATTCCATGGACTGTAAAGAATTCCATGGACTGTAAATTCCATGGGGTCGCAAAGAGTCGGACACGAGTGAGCGACTTTCACTTTCACTGACTTCACGCTCCAGGATGTCTGGCTTTAGGTGAGTCACCACACCATTGTGATTATCTGGGTTATTAAGACCTTTTTTGTATAGTTCAGTATGTTCTTGCCACCTCTTCTTAATCTCTTCTGTTGTTAGGTCCTTACCATTTCTGTCCTATATTGTGCCCAACTTTGCATGAAATGTTCCCTTGGTATCCAGTTTTCTTGAAGAGATCTTTAACCTTTCCCAATCTATTATTTTCCTTTCTATCTTTGCATTGTTCATTTAAAAAGGCCTTCTTATCTCTCCTTGGTATTCTCTGGAACACCACATTCTTTTGGGAATATTTTTCCCTTTCTCCCTTGCTTTTTACTTCTTTATTTAGCTATTTGTAAAGCCTCCTCAGACAACCTCTTCACCTTCTTATATTTCTTTTTCTTTGGAATGGTTTTGGTCACTGCTTCCTGTACAGTGTTACGAACCTCTCTCCATAGTTCTTCAGGCACTTTGTCTACCAGATCTAAATCTTTGAACCTATTCATCACCTCCACTGTATAATCATAGGGATTTGATTCAAGTCATACGTGCATGGTGTCATGCTTTTCCCTACTTTCTTCAATTTGAGCCTAAATTTTGCAATAAGGAGTTTAAGATCTGAACCACAGTCAGCTCCAGGTCTTGTTTTTTGCTGACTATATAGAGCTTCTCCATCATTGGCTACAAAAAACAATCAGCTTGATTTTGTTGTTGACCATCTGGTGATGTCCATGTATAGACTCATCTCTTGGGTTGCTGGAAAAGGCTGTTTGCTACTTATCTTCCTCTTACATGACAAATATTAGAACACTAATTCCAATCTTGAATGTGGAGTAGCTCCTCTGGGCCCTCCTGTGCCAGCACAGCAGCCGCTCCTTGGTGGTAGGGCAGCTCCTCTAGGGTGGGGCCCCTGACCTCCAGGCCCCTGACCTCGGGCCTGTGGTAGCTCTTCTCAGCCACCGCCCCTTACCTCCGATGTGCTAAACTGAAGAAAGTAGGGAAAACCACTAGACCATTCAGGTATGACCTAAATCAAATCCCTTATGACTATACAGTGGAAGTGAGAAATAGATTTAAGGGACTAGATCTGATAGACAGAG